CCTCAGCTGTTTGCAGGCCTTAATGTGAGAACTGGGGGCTCCCAGCGGCCCCCACATTGTCCGGGCCCACAGAGGGAGTCCTGTTGATGACTTATTTTGGAAACCAGAAGCACGGGCCTCTCAACACCCTGGACAAGATGGCGAGTGACAGGGCCAGGCTGCCCCGGGGGCTTAAGTGTGTGAAAATCTCAAACCCGTTCCGCAGCCTTTTGGGAACGCTCCGACAGAATAATGGTTAATTGTTATTTTAGTTTATTGCTGTATTGTTGTTGTGTCTATCAATATATTATTATTTTGTTGTATATTGTAATTTAAAAAAAAAAAGGTTTTAAGGTTTATCGTATCCAACTTGGTTGTTGATCGACCGATCGGTACCGGTTTATGAAAACCACCCAAATGTTGTACCTATTAAGATGCTGCAGAACTGTGTGCTCCGTTATAAGTAACAGTTGATTGATTTTTATTGGCTGGAGAAATGCTTGCGAAGCAGTATCTACCAAATGCTTTTTATGAAACAACATGTAAACTGAATGCTGCAGAACCTCTTTGGAATCCGTTTGAAGTTTATGTCTCTATCTCTATAAGGACTTTCAGCTGTGTCCTTGGCCAACGTTTGCATTTAATACAAATCGGACTTCTCTTTCATTCGGTTAAAGGCAATTAGAGCTTGTTTTTTTGATTACAGCTGCATGACTCAATGCCAGTTGCAGTCTTACGATAATCCCTAAAGCATTATTCCCGGCTACAGTCCTCCATGTAACTGCATCCCAGGAACTTTAGCAAGGAGATGCTGCAAAGTAGGTCAGCTCTTCAAACTTTTGCTAATAGCGAGGGACATCCTGGATGACCCTGGCGTTGTACCTGCAGCGGAGTGACACACTATTGGTTTCAGACAGCATGTAAAGCCATGCACCCACCAAATAATGCATTTACATTTAAAAAAAACACACAGGAGTCCTTACAGCATTGGAAAGTTAAAAGGCAGGATTAGGAAGGAAAACCCCAAGAGGTAGGCGTCCAAAAGATGTGTGTGGATCATGGGAAGGCCATGTCAGTATACCCTTCATTTGAACCTTTGTACAATGAGGGCGGGGATGATTCCTTTATATAGCAGGCGCTTTTTTTTATCTGAAATCACTTGCAGGTGAGGCTGAGAACAATACATGCACACAATTGCTATTGGAGTGATTACAGATTTAAGGGCTACTTATTCGAGTTTCCAAAAACAATGAGATTGCAGTGCAGGATAGCCAGCCATATGAGTTGGGTTATTTTAGTGCTTATGTGAAGTCAGTCATAATAATAATAATAATAATATTACAATTCTCCAACAAATGTAAATGTTAAGTGTTAAGGTAAAGTTAAGTGTTAAGGTAATCCCAGAAGGGCTCCACTTGCTTTCAATAATATGTCCCCCCTCACTTTTTTATATATTTGTCCAACAGAGAAAAGTCAAACCAATTATCTATGTGGCTTTTGGATGGGGGGTCGTGGGGGTGGGGGCTGTCTAGTTAATGTTTAAGCAGACAGGAAGTGTGTTCTCGCCAGGGTCATTTCTTCAAGCTTCTGCAAAAGCCATTGGTCCACTGCAGACCGCCGCCAGACCCCAGCAACAATGAAACCAATATTGTTCTACCAGATTAACAGTTTGTTCTTACAAGATAGCCAATTATCAACAGAAAATTAGGGTGAATGGTCGCACTGGGAGCGATCCCGCAGACTGGAGCCTGCTTCCTGCGCCGTGTCCATGGCAACGGGTAAGCAAAGCTTGTGCTCCCGTCAAGGTCCCATTGTCTCGTTCCCCTATTTTAAAACGAGAGACCTTGGGTGCTTCAACTGAATATATTTTTAAACCGCCTCCCCATTCGGGTGAATTGAGGTAGACGGTGTCGCTACAGACGTGAGACTGTTTTTAGTTTTAGTTTTATTTTGCAGTGCCATTATTCTATAAATGAATAAAGTGCGGCATACGTTATGTGGCTTACTCACATTGGTCCTGGGGTTTTTCTTTTTTGGTTTTGTTTAATTATACATTACAACGAAAGTGGCACACCGTCATCCTTTGCATCCTGCTGAAACTAAGATGAGCCGGAAGTGAAAGGTTTTACGTGGAACAATAGTTACAGGGAATTATAGCCTCACACTTTTGATACCTATGTGGTCTTTCACTACGTCATTGACCATATATATATATATATGTGTGTGTGTGTGTACATAAATCTGTCTGTATATAAATCCCTATTTCTTCACCGTCTTGAAGAGAAAGCTGGAATCGAATCCTCTCGCGTCTGTCTCACATTCTTTCCGCTCAGCTGTGGATCATGCGGCCGTTTTGGTGAGCTGATTGCGTTACGATGTAAAGGATTATCTTGTCTGTTTATGGAATTATCAAACCCGTAATGTAGCTTCACACCCCTCACTTTCCAGTGACCTAAGCATCTTCCTTTGCTTCCCATTAAATGTCTTCCAGCTTCTAGAAAGAAAAAAAAGCTAAATCTTGAGGCCTGTTGGACATATGTACAGCGTGGTACAGTTACGAATTCATAAACGATCTGGAGAACATGCTTTTAAGCACCTTTCCAAGGACTAACTGCTTCTCAATTGTTGGTGTTAATGTGAAGTGTCATACACCACTAACGTCCACTCCAAAGGAGCTTTCTGGAGTCCTTCAGAAAGCATATTGTGTATGGCAAACAGAAATAGGGCATTTTACGATAACACAAAGACACATGAAGCGAGCCCAGTCTGCAACTCATTTCACATTCTGCAGGTGTAAAGCATCTTTGCGGGGAACCAAGGATGTCAAGGTTAGAGGCCCTCAGTCCAGTCATTGTTTGTTTACATTACCGTTGCCAAATCGACTATAGACTTTCCCTGACGTGATTACAGAAAAGCGCCTGGCTGATTGACTCGTTTATGAGACGGTGAAGCAGGATGCAATTGAAGCACTTTATTGTTTATTTCGCCTATTCAAGCACATTTTTGATGACCCCCGCATCGGGTTTGGACCAGATGCAATTCAACCTTCAACAGGTGAAACTCTTTAAACTCCGGCTTAGCCTTCTACTTGGGTCTCCCTTTCCATCATTTTTGTTTTCTTGTTTTCTTCTGCGTTTGAAGTTTCAAGCAAAAACATGAAAAGACCGCGTGAGTCCGTGGCCATTGGTTCCAACTCCTTGTCACTTTTTATAGCTATTGCAGGCTTTTGGAAGCGGCTTAAAATGGTGAAACTTTTAGTGCTGACACCAAAATGCTTTTACTATTATACTCTTGATGTTCGTCTTTTATCATCCCCATGTCAAGACCACCACGCTGCCATAAAACAAACGCCTTTAGAGGACTCAAGCAATATTTTCACAAGTTTAAACCGACATGTCTGATTGATTGTGATAGCATCCAGACGCTGCCGCCGTTCAACAAAAGAGCGCTTCACTCGCTCTGATGTCCGAGAAAATGTAGCAACAACTCCGAGGTTGACCGTCCTGAGGCGATCCCAAAATAAACCAAACGAACAGGGTGGGTTTGTCTCTCCGGGCTGAATGACAACCGAAACAAGAAGCAGCAGGTGCTAGTTCCCCTGTTGGAAGCACAGGAGTCGGGCCCTGGCATCGGGCGTATATCTGATGGAGGAACAACAAGGCTGCTGGAGGGCTATCAAAGAGCTCCAGAATCAGGACATTTAAGGTCCTTTTATCGTTATCGTCGGGAACTCAGGTGGTTACCTGGGGTCGGGACGCCACTCGGGACACCATAGCCTGCTATGCAGAGGGGGAGTACGTCAATTAAATAGTACTTAGCATCGTATAGCATCTTATCCTAGCTATCCATGCGGTATACCAGAAAGGAGAGCTAAACCTACAATGACTGTTGAACATACTAACCACATGGTGTCATATCCATAGGGTTCAAATGATCAGAATCAGAATTATTTAATTTTGCCAAGTATATTTGCACATACAAGGAATGTGTGGGGAAGCAGATGCAAGTTGGGGTCACAAGTATTATCTGATCTAAAAATGGGGTCATGGACCCCATAAATGTTGGTAGCGCTCGCAAATCTGTAACCGAGGGACCTGAAAGCTTTTGCTTCCTACCTTTTTCCTTTGAAATTACACACACAACAAATGTCCATAAGGTCCATGTCCATTGTGTACACATGCTTACGGTATATATATATATTTAGCTGTTGTAGATGTGCCAACAATGCCATGATTACATCACTAAACCCACACTCCTGTGGACACCAGGAATACCTCGGAATAGGTCTCTACATTTCACATTTCATTTCATAACAGCGCTAATCCATTTGGAAGATTCCCAGTGAAGCAGGCAGGAAACTGCCCGACATCCAATCTGTTTTCCCAGTTCCCCAAAGTCACACACGTTGAACCCGTGGTTCACCTAATATTCGGTGAGACAACAACTTGAGCGGATACACACTTTCGCGTACAGATGACCTTTCTGTGATGGCCACAGGGAGAGGGGTGGCGGGGGTGGCGGAGGTTTTGCGGGGGGGGGGGGGAGGTTGGGAGGGCTAGGTAGGTAGGACAGTTATTTTCAGGCCCATAAAGTCTGGAGTGTGGCTCTGTGGAATAATCCAACACACCAGCGGGCCTCCCTCTACCTCCGCTGCAATAACAGGCTTGTCTCCGAGCACCTTAAAAATAGCCGTCCGCTGGAACTCTCATTATGTTCATCCATCCGATCCCTGCAGTGGAAACCAGCCGGACACGGGGAGGTACCAGCGGGTTTGTCCAGAAACCGTCGGCACGCGCCATGCCAACATTTTTCACTGACAGCCCAATGTTTTTCGCCGAGTACGTAGTGTAGTCTCGCTAACAGGATGACACTCGGGCTCATGGGGGGGGGGGGGGGGGGGGGGGGGGAAAGGGGGATGTATTTTAATGACTGGCGATGATTGTTTTAAAGACAGCTCCGAGAGTCATGTGTAACCTCTGTTGAAGTAGTTAAGACCTCACTTCAACGGCTTGCTTTTAATTTAGCCCGTATTGGTAAACGCATGGCACTAATGCTGCCAGGGTCGTGGGTTCGATTCCCACTCACGCCCATCCATGCTAACAATGCGTACACTCACGGTACTGTCGCTTTGGACAAAAGTGTCCAAATTACACATTTATTTTGTATTGAAGGGCTTCATCATTGGTAAAAGCTAACCAGTTTGACTCTAGATCTGTAAAACTATAGTTACCAACACAACCCATGGGCACATCCCCCTACTTAGGAGCACCTAAATAAGTCAAATAAATAAATATGATATAGTGATGGGATGAGTGGGTTGGTAAACAGTGAAGGAACCTCCCTGGACACAGCAGGGCATAGTCAGTCTCCACACATACTGCTCTTTTATTTCCTTCTTGTTTGTGTGTGCATGTGTGTCCTCATGTGTGTGTGTTTGTGTGTGCATGTGTGTATATTTGTGTGTGCGTGTGAGAGTCGCTTCAGGGCCCAGTTTCTCTGTAAATCCGCTCCAGCTGTAGTGATGTAAGGAGGCAGCGCGTTGGAATATTCCGGTTTCAGACGCGCTCGCCGGAGCTGTCTGTGTAAATCTGTGTACTCAGGTGCATTCTGTGAAGCCAGACCCGGTGTAGGAGCCAAATACAGAGGTCCCCCTGGTGCCCTGGGGGCCCCCGTGGGCCCCCTCTCCAGCTTCTTCCCTCGCCTCATCTCTTTGTCTCTCCTGTTTTGATTCCTCCCATTGTTTTCCTCTGTGTTGTTCATGACATCTGCAGAGCGCTTGGAGGACTCCTGAAATCACAAATCACAATTATGTATTTATGAGTCATCGAAAAACGTTTATAGAGGAAGCCCACAACTGATTCATTGTTTTAATTTTTTAAAAAGACCAATGAGAAAGAGGAACATTTAACTCTGCGAGTTTGTAGCGTGTGAAAGAGGCTAGCGTGATGGGGATGGTGGTGGTGGTGGTGATGACGATGATGAATGTGGGGCTAGTGATGAAGGAGCTCCACTGGCCTTGTGTTCTTCCAGGCTCACTGTGTCCCACGCTGGGAAACTTTCAAAACCTCAAAAGGCAAATCTCCAGCTAATTTCATCACAGCACAGGAGCAGGAAGTGATGCCGTGGGACAGGATGTTTACATTACCAAAAAAAGGAGAGAGTTTGTGACTCTAACCTTGTGAGTTGAGGTGCAGCATTTGCAGTTGAGCAGATGCACACAGGGTTCAGGGGTTGGGTTCGCGGTTTGGGAGGGGGGCGGGGTGGCGGTGGTCGGGGTGTACTTAAAGTCGTTGTGTGCAATTGTGGTAAATGGAAAGAAAACAGCACAGACGATTGGGTTACAGTAAATCTAATTAGGGTGCTAATGTTGTGATAAGGTTTGGAAAGCTTATTTAGTTGCCCTTCTTTTGGTTCTACTTCAATTACACAGTGGTCTTGATGTAATGCGAGTAATCACCTTGTAATTATACTGTTTAGCGTTGTGACGTGACGTTCTGTGAAATTGCAAGGTAAGGGCACAGTGTCGGAGGGAAAGGATGAGATCAACACAGTAACGAAATAACGAAAACATAGCGAGGCGAACACCAAGCGGACCAAGCTCCATCCAAAACCAGAGTCAATCTGGGGTTGGCTTTCACCCGCTGGCGAGCGCTTCTGGTGTCGTTCAGCCGGGGAGGGACTAACTTTGAATGTTGTGTTTACGAACCGCAACCGACAAATCCTACTCATTGTGCCTCTAAGATTGGCAATCATGAACTAAAGTGATTGGCACGAGTTCAGATACCCAGTAAATAACCCAGTAAATCATGACCGCATTTCGGTGGCCTTTTTTTTTCTTCCCCGAAGCAGCTAACAATACTGTGAGTGCATACGTTCCTAGCATGGATGACCCCAGTGGGGAAACTCATTAATGACATGCTCTACCAGTGGAGATAGAAAGAACCACCAAATAACATCATGGACACTGACGGTAACCGTTTTTTGATATATTACAAGGTACACTTCCCTTCTTAAAATGATCGCTCCACCCCACTGCTAGGGATTTCAGTATTGTTCCCTTGGAGAGAGAGAGCGAGGGAGAGGGGGAGAGATGAAGGCCCTGCTTGCTGCAACGAGCCTCATGGGTAATGTAGTATTTATTCTGGAATGTGCTGCTTCTTTACCCAAAGTCTTTCTCTTGGCCTTGTGACGTACCGATTATGTTTCATGGATGGTGCGACCGTTGCCATGGCGATCACTGCAAACATGCCGTTGGATCAAAGATGTCTCACAGGCGACGTAACTCTTGAGCTTACTGTGCCGCCTCTGGCCCTCAAAGTGATCGGATTTGATTGTTTTCATTACATGTTTAATCCTGCCACACTTTGAGCTTGAACTGGCCGCACTTCACATCGAAAGTCGCCTGGATCTCGTGTCGTCTGTTGATCCGAAGACATCATCCAGCCGTCATCGCTTCATCGCCATCAGCCTCACGCGGTGACCTCATCGGTTACAAGTTACTTTGATAACCCCTGAAAGGCGGACTGGGCAAAGGTCACAGGGCCAGGAGGTGTGCTGGGGATACGCCCGGCGGACAAGCCTATCCTGTGACGGCTTTGTCCACTACCGCTACCAGCGGCACTCCACCCAGACAGGAAGTGACCTGAGGAGGTGCACGCCGATTTGGGTTCAGATGGTCCACTCCTCCTTCTCCTCCTCCTCCTCCGAACAAAACATTTACGAGGATGGGAGGAGATGAGGAGAAAAAACAATAAAAAAGGGAAAAAAATGAGGATCTGTGGAAAAGTTTATTGTTGGAAGCAGTGCTGGATAGTGCTAACAGTCGTCATATGGAGGGGAGGGAATTTCTTCCTTCTTTCCAAACGTTTGTCTATACACTGTCATATATATATATATATATATATATATATATATATATATATATATATATATATATATATATATATATACACACTATGTCATTAAAGAGATATTTTATTGTATGTGTACCTGGGTATAGATTCACATTTTACTGCGTTTTGAAGTGCTGATGACCTCACGCCCAAGGAGGCGTAGGCCAGCGGCTCGGTGCCAGCAAAACGTACTTAGTGGTCCCCAGTGCTTGTAAAACACTACGACTATATTGTATATATATTTATAGATGTATACGGGCCTGTGCTAAGTGATGTATGGATATGTGTTCATTGGGATACTATGTGTTCTCCTACTGTGTTTATTTAGCAAGAGACGAAACCAAGCAAGCCACTTGCAAGTCACGACACAGACACAAATCTCTTCTTTTCAATCTTTTAATCTCCAAAGTGCAGAATTAAGACATAATTATACCTGTATATCAATGCCAACAGAGATGATGGTTAAACAGCCGGTAGGATCCCAACATTTGACACATTTCCCCTAAACCCCTTTCAGTCATCACACGGCAACAAATACAATATCATCAGGAAATTGACATCCAGGGCGGATGCGCAGCAATTTAAGAAATTGGGGTTCGGAAAAAAATGTCAGACCTAAAAAGGGGGCAAAGAAAGCTTAACAACAACTCGGTTAGGGACCCCCCCCCCAGACAAAGCTGTCCATCAAACTCTACATCCACGCTTCTGGTCCCAACTCATCAACCGACTCAATTTCAAGACTTTTTTGGTAACTTATAAGAGTGCGAAGGGTTAGCAGGTCACACCCACCCCCACGGGCCTCATGGTCGGTCTCTCTCTCTCTCTCTCTCTCTCTGTGTGGTGTTGGCGGTGGAAACCTCCGAGGCCGTCGCCGTCGCCGCCGCCCTGGCACCCCCATCGCATTCCTCCCCTGACCGTCACCCTCAGGGGCACTGCCCTGGAGACTGCTGCGCCGCTCGCTTTTGTCTTGCCAGCGAAGCGCTCTCAAATTCCACTCCTGAACGCTTTCCACTCCTCTCCTCCGCCCTTATGGTCAAAAGGCAACATCCTCCTTCCCACGAGGTTACGAGGCGCTTTACGCACGTCGCCGGGGCAGAAGCGGCTCCCAGTTGTGTCGGTTTAGTGTCCATGGGGCGGGTGTTGTGTTCGCATTGTCTGCAGACAGCGCCTTTACACATTAGCAGGGCTGCGTTTTTGCCTCTTTTTTTATTGGGTGTGTGTTGAGTTATGAATGATGTGGCGTTGAAATAGCGCGCGGGGAGGGCAGAGAGAGAGAGAGAGAGGGGGAGGACAGATGCTGAGTTTCTTAGAAGCGGCGTTATCCAGGCAGCCATCAGTACGGTGTGCTCCGTGAAAGCAGATGAAATTAAAGATATGTCAGTCTGCTGGGTGGAGAAAAAAGCCTGCTGGAGCCGTGCCGAAATAAATTCTTGCATGTCACTAATTGTCAAGAGGAGCTGACAGCCGGAGAGGTCTGGTGGGGGGGGGGGGGGGCAGTATCCAAAACAAACAGTGCCAGCCAAAGTCAACCTGGTAAATATCACCTTACCAGCCCCCCCCCCACCTCATCTCTCCAGCTCTGCAATGATATTCTGATGCAGACCCACTCAGCCGTAACTTAAGCCGTCTATTGCAATCTGTTAATGAGATGAGGTAAAAGCGACAATGAAGCATTATCGGTTTAACTGTCCAGCTGTTTTTTTTTTTTTCTGTCTTTCGAAATGTGAGTGTATGTGTGTGTGTGTGTGTGTGATGGAAATGTTGTTAGTGGTGGTTTAACTAAGGGATATTGTGCAGCGAGACGGTCATTGCAAAATAAACCCCGACAGGGTGATGGGGTCTTGATGAAGATGAAGGGTTATTCAAGACCGTGTAATCCCGCTTGTTACACGGCTACTTACTAAAGAAATCAATAATTTGACACACAATCTAACTACATAATGTAAGTAAATAAAACATGACATTGAAATTGGTAGTTTAGTAAGGGCAATACGACGTAAATAAACATAGCCATAAATGTTCGTCCCTCTTTGAATGAGGCACTATAGTGCATGAGTAAACCAAAGTCATTTCTGTGCAGTAAACTCTGAACATAGTGGCTTAGTAATGCAATACTGTACAAATGAAGTTATATTTGCTCAATGCTCATTTGATCCTCAGATTGGTATTCATTGCTAGCAGCCACCGTAAAATGTCAT